CTCCCTCCCTTCCTCCCTCCCTTCTTCCCCCTTCCTTCCTTCTCCTTAAAACCCCTCACCCCAAGTCCCTATTAAAATATACAAACTGGGAGGTGAAGAGTGGGAGGTTGGAGCCCTGGGGGCTCCTGGGTAGGGCCTGACCCCAGGCTGAGGCCTGCCGGGCCCCCTCGGGCCGCCCCCAGCTCCGGCAAGGTGGTGCCAGGCTGCCAGGCGAAGCTGGTGAACGAGGATGCCGAGGGCATCGGGGAGATCTGTCTGTGGGGCCGCACCATCTTCATGGGCTACCTGAACATGGAGGACAAGACGCGGGAGGCCATCGACGCCGAGGGCTGGCTGCACACGGGGGACATGGGGCGTCTGGACACGGACGGCTTCCTCTACATCACCGGGCGCCTCAAGGGTGAGTGCCGCTGGCTGGCTTCTGGCCACGGGCATGTGTGTTGGGGGGATGAGCTGCTGCCGTTTGTGCCCCGAGTCCTGAGCCCGTATCGTGCACTTGGACTGACAGACAGCATTTTACTTCCGACTAGCCGGCTAGTCGGCTAGCCTTTCCTCCTTTCCTTCCCCCTTCCCCCCTTCCTTCCCCACTTCCCTCCTCCCCCTCACCTCCCTTCCTCCCTTCCCCCTCCCTTCCTTCCTCCCTTCCTTCCCCTGGGCTCCCTGCTCCGCGGGAAGCCTGCTTCTCCCTCTTCCACTCCCCCTGCTTGTGTTCCCTCTCTCTCTCTCTTTCTGTCAAATAAGTAAATAAAATCTTTAAAATAGTATGGTTAGAGGTCCGGGCCCAGGACCGGGAGGGAGGGGGGTAGGAAGGAAGGGAGGGAGGAAGGAAGGGAGGGAGGAAGGAAGGGAGGAAGGGAGGGAGGGGGAGGAAGGGAGGGAGGAAGGGTAGTGTCTGCCCCACAGCAGAGTCGAAAGTAAAATGCCATCAGTTTACTAGCTGGGAAGGTCGCCCAGCTAGTAAATGGTGGAGCTGGGATTCAGACTCTCTAGAGAAACCAGGCAAGTCTTTCCAGAAGATTCTGGGGCATAAATATCATGCATTTTTACGTGCAAACATGGGCATGGTATGGAGAACACAGACTGGATATAAAATTTAAAATAAAGCAGGAGACTTCAGAGAAATTTCCCATGAGGAATGTGGCCCTCCCAGGGGGGACGGACTTGCACGGAAAAAGTGGAGAAAGTGTTTTGCTTACTTTGCGCAAGAGGGTGTAAACCCAAACACGTCCATGGGGAGAAGTCCCTGCCCGTTTCCCAAGGGAAACATCTCAGTGAGTGGGCGAACAACTCTGGAAATCTTGCAGGCAGGGGTGTCATCCAGCCCGGGCTCTGCTGGCCACAGAGGGCTGGCTCTCAGGGTGGAGTCTGGGCAGGCCTGGCCTGAACCTTGGGAAGAGCAGGGCAACAGTCCTGGCGACCCTCCTGGCGCCCACCGGCACACTGCTGGGGTCTGCGAGATCCCTGCACGCACCGTCCTGCTGCACGGGCGGGCGGAGAGCGCCGCCTAGGGCCCGGCTTGGTGATGGCGGGTGAGGCCTGCATGCTGAAGGGGAGGGATAGTAATGGGGAAACATCAACCCAACTGGACGTCCTTTAAAACAGTATGGTCGGGTGGCGCCTGGGTGGCTCAGCTGGTGAAGCGTTTGCCTTCGGCTCAGGTCATGGTCCCAGGGTCCTGGGATCAAGCCCCGCTTCGGGCTCCCTGCTCAGCGGGAAGCCTGCTTCTCCCTCTCCCTCTGCCACTCCCCCTGCTTGTGTTCCCTCTCTCTCTCTCTCTGTCAAATAAGTAAATAAAATCTTTAAAATAGTATGGTTAGAGGTCCAGGCCCAGGTGCCTTTTCTCCAGATAAGTATCCACCGACCCAGCCTCACTGCCAAGGAGACCACCTCCCCGCAGGGCATTACCCACCAGGGGACTGTGTGGGAGGCGGCTCAACTGCCTGTCCTTGTACCCGAGTATCTCTGTGATACGGCATGTAATCTGGCTATGTGAGGCCTACGGCCTTGGTCTTCATCTTTAAGACAACCTTGGCTAGAATCATGCCCGTGGCCTCCAAAAACTTGCCAAGATTTTGATTTTGATTTCATTGGATCTGTGGATTAATTTGGTGAGAATGTGTCTCTTTACAATATTGAGTCATCCAATCCATAAACATGGTATAAATTGCCCAACGCTGTGCAGATATACTGAGAAACGTGAGTTAGATCATTTTCTGGGCGAATGTAACTACTTCAGAAAAGAACGGTAAACTTAAAGAGACTGATTCTCGGGGAACACATTATGACCGTCCCCCCACCACATACGCACAACACGCTGGACCAGGAGATTCACTGAGGAATTCCAATGATACCTCACCTGATTTTGAGCATAGAAAAGAAGGAAAACTTCCAAATTTTTAGTGAGGTGAGTATAACATTGATACGAAATCTGAACAAGATTGTGTTTAAAAAGAAAACCGTAGACCAGGGGCACCTGGGTGGCTCAGTCGTTAGGCGTCTGCCTTCGGCTCAGGTCGTGATCCCAGGGTCCTGGGATCGAGCCCCACATCGGGCTCCTGCTCGGCAGGAAGCCTGCTTCTCCCTCTCCCACTCCCCCTGCTCGTGTTCCCTCTCTCGCTGTGTCTCTGTCAAATAAATAAATAAAATCTTTTTAAAAAAAGAAAAAAGAAAACCATAGACCAATGACTTTTATGAACATATATGCTAAAATCCTAAAAGAAATACTAGAAAAAAAAATACTAGCAAAAAGACTAGCAATACTAGTCTATGCCAGCACATTAAAACGTAACCCATCATGACTAAGTGGGATTATTCTGGAAACCCAGGGATATATAATGTAATTAATCCCATTAATAGAGCTTTAAAATATTTATGATCATCTCCACATCTATTGCAAAAGCATTTAACAAAAATTTAATATCCTCATTCATGGATAAAAACAGAAACAGTAGCTCCTTCCTTAACATAATGAAACGGGAGTCTCCCAAGCCAGAAGCCGGCCCCAGTCCTGGGAAAGCCAGACCCCACGCCTCGGAAGAAGGGGCAGGCCCGGTGCCCGCGGTCGCGCCCGGCCTGTCGGACAGAGCGGGGTGGCGTCATGCACAGCAGCGGCTTGCAAACAGAAGGTCAGGACGTCGCCTTAGGGAATCTGTGGCTTGTGCCAGCGCGTTTAGAAGGCATCGCAGAAGAAACTAGTCCGTGCACGATATAGCAACAGAGAAGACAGAACGTTCCCCATAAAGAAGGGGGCCCTCACCGCTGCTGGAGGGAAACAGAGAAATCCGTTATCCTGTTGGAATGCGGAAGATCTACAGGAGCCAAGAAGAGGGTCTCAGTGAAATTCTCCTACATTAAAGACAAACAAACCTCCACGTAGTCAAACGGCCCGGAGCAAAGACAGATGTCATAGCCCGGAAGACTCGGCGGGCAGCTCCTGATGTGTCACGTGACCTGGAGAGCTTGCTAGGCGCTGGGGTTTGTAGGTTTCTCTCCAACTTCCTGTGCACACCATCCGACCGTCTCCAGATGCCGACAGTTTCGTTCCTTCTTTCCATTCCTTCTGGGTGTTTCTCTTGCCTCTTGCACTGGTAGGACCTTCAGAGCAGCGGTGAACAGACGTGGGGACAGTGGTCTTCTGTGTACGGTTCCTGATCTCTGGGGAACGCTTTCGACATTTGATCCCTGAGTGTGTTTCCTGTGGATTTTTGGCAGGTGCTCCTTTCTGTGCCCAGTTTGCTGAGGGCTTCTATGCGTACTAACTCGTGAAAGACGCTGGTAGGAGGGGGAAAGGGGGAGGGGACTAGAGAAAGCCCCGGAAGGAGGAAGGCAGGGCTGGTGACAGCCGCTGGGCTCTGCCTGGCCATGGTTCCCACCCCGCTCCACCCCTGCTGCCCCGAACAGACCCCGGTCTGAACGCTTCCTCCCTGGCCAGCCCTCGCCTTGGTAACCACTCTTCACCCCGCTCACCAGTGCCCTAAAACTCTGAGCGCCAACCGCTCAGAGGCTGCCACTCACCCGGGCCGCCCCTCAGCACTAGAGGGGCCCTGCTCCCCCCGCCTTTGCCTCCCTGTCTCACCTGCCGTGCACATGGGCCCTCTGCCCATTAGACCCAGTTCATGCGCAACATGCAGCTGGGCCACGAGCCTCCCTGCAGCCAGGGTCTGTCTCGACGGCCACACGGGACCTGCACACAAGGGGACCAACTCGTCTTTGTTGAACTAGAACTGGGGGGCCACAAGCTAGCGAAAGCAGTCAGGTGTATTGAGTAAATGTCCACTTATAACCATCTGTTTGGCAGTATACCACCTTCCAGGGAGGAGGCCAGAGTGCTAAGTGCCCCCAGCTGGTCTTGCACAGATGCGCTCAGTAGACCCCTGAATGAGTGAGGCGGTGGATGAGGGGTGGACGCTGTGAGAGCAGCTCCGAGAAGGGAGAGCCTGCGTCCCTGGAGGGGAGAGGGCTTCCTGAGAAGAACACGCGGTGTGTTAGAGGAGACAGGAGGGCGTGTTGGGAAGGTGTATGCGAGGTGAGAAGCTCACAGCAGGAGCTCTAGGGCTGTGCTGTGCTGCGCTCCCCCCCATGCCACTCCACCTCAGACAAGCCACCTAACCTCCCTGTGCCTCAGTCCCCATCTGTAAAATGAGCTTCTTCATAGGCCGGTTGTGAGTGTTCAGTAAATCACTGCACATGTAGGACTTAGCACAGCACCTGGCCCATGGTGAGTGCCGGGCGCCTGCCGGGTGGTGGCAGTTCAACTGCAGGACCATGGCAGCGTGTCTGGGGGCAATGGATAAGTCTGAGCAGGCAAAGTCTTGGAGGATGAGCAAAGGAGTGGGAGCCCTGAGTAAGCACTTATGCTCCAGGAACTGCCACCGTCCCCCAGCAGGTGTCCCCCCAGCAGGTGTGTCCCCCAGCAGGTGTCCCCCCAGCAGGTGTCCCCCCAGCAGGTGTCCCACCCCAGCAGCTGTGTCCCCCCAGCAGGTGTGTCCCCCAGCAGGTGTCCCCCCAGCAGGTGTCCCACCCCAGCAGGTGTGAGGTGCTTCTGAGGGCGTGGCACTGCCCCCGCCACCCCCAAGTATCCACAGTGCTGCCTGACGCTCCTGCCTCCAGGGGCTGGGGCCGAGGTTTGGGTCCTGGTCCAGCCCATTCACCTGGATTAAAACCTGTGCCGGGGGCCTGGCCCTGCCTCCCCAGAATTAATCATCACAGCTGGTGGAGAGAACGTTCCCCCTGTGCCCATCGAGGAGGCCGTGAAGATGGAGCTGCCCATCGTCAGCAATGCCATGCTGATCGGGGACCAGAGGAAGTTCCTGTCCATGCTGCTCACCTTGAAGGTGTGTCAGGGGTTCTGGCTCTAGGCGGGTGGGTGGTCTGTGGGTCTGGCCCAAGCAGAAGCCATGCTCGGCCAGGACACATCTACATCTCGAGACTTTATTCTGGGATAGCCTGTTGGCTACCTGCAACGGGGCAGGAACCACAATTGGTCACATGCTGCTGTGATGGTCCATTATGGTCCAGCTCAGCCTGGCTCCCCAGGGTTGCAGCCCTCACTCCCCCGCTCAGATGCTCTGAACCCAGGCTGCTGGACGGGGCCGGAAGGGTCCCTGTTCTAGCCCATGGTTTTATTGGCTGAGGTCCTGCTAGGTGCCCTTCCACCACAGGCCGTCTCTGAACAGAGCTTATGGTGACCCACATCCTCCAAGACCAGGGCTTGTGTCTTGTGGGGTGAGGCTTGGGCCTGGTCTGACCTCTGGCTTTTCAGTGTGTGCTGGACCCAGACACCTCCGAGCCGACGGACAGCTTAACTGAACCAGCTGTGGCCTTCTGCCAGAGAGTGGGCAGCAAAGCCACCACCGTGTCTGAGATCGTGGGCACCAAGGATGAGGCCGTGTATCAGGCCATTGAGCAGGGGATCCAGAGTGTCAACAGGAACGCAGCTGCCCGGCCCTACCACATCCAGAAGTGGGCCATTCTCCAGAGGGACTTCTCCATTTCGGGTGGAGAGTTGGGTAGGGTGTTTTTTCTTCCTTGTTTGTTCTCACTATTCGAGGGGCCGTGTGGGAGGGCAGAGGCCATGGCCGAGCCTGGGAGGAAGCCCAGGGCAAGCACAAAGCCACGGACAGCCCCCTCCTTCTGGCGGGAGGACATGGTTGCCCGGTGTGCGGGCTTGCGCCCGGGGAAAGCCAGACGCATGCACTAAATGTGTGCTGGAGCCTATTAATTTGAACGTAGAACCTTTAACTTTGCTTTGACGGGGGGGCCATTTTCCCCTGACATCACAGTGGGACCAGGAGGCAGACCCTAAAGCCCTTAGTGTTTGGGCTGGAGTCCCCTGACTCTAGGGGCTCAGCTCACGTGCAGGTAAAAGAATGAAGCCCTTCTGGACCATGGTCCACAAAGCCAGGAAAGGCCACTGGTGCAGCCTCAGCTGGACGGAGGAAGTCACTCTTGGCTGAAGCATGTGGGGTGTTCGCGGCCAGGGGAGGCGGGAATGGCTTCTGGAACGGCCTCTGGCCCATGAGGCTGAAGCAGGGCACTGAGCTGCCTGCAGACTGGAGCATGTCTGGTTGGCTGGTGCTAGGAGAGTGAAGGCAAGTGTCCTCTCTGACCAGCTTCCAGAGGTGGCTTGGAAGTCTCCAGTTACGCAGCCAAGTGTGTTAGCGCAAAATGGCCTCGAGCTGCCCCCAAGGTGAATCAGAGCCCTTGCGGCCATGCTTTACAGGGAAGACCCAAGGCCAAGAACAGGAATTTGGGAAAGACCTCTCCCAGAGACCGCGTCGGACAAGGTGGCACACCCGGTCTGCCCCTGGCTGCTCGGGGGAGCAAAGCATAATGCTCCATGTCGTGTGCGCAGTCACAGGCCGTTCACCCATTAGCTACTGTTTGTGTAACAAATTACCCCCAAATTTAGCAGCTTGACACAATAAGCATTTATTATCTTGACTTCTGTGGGTTGGAAATCCAAGGCAGCTTAGCTGGGTGGTTCTGGCCTGGGGTCTCGTGAGGTCACAGTCAGAACGTCGGTCGGATGGCCGTCACCTGCTCACCACGCGCGTGTTGGCCAGAGCCTTGTCCTGAGGCTGCCTGCATGCTCCTGGCAAGGTGGCTCGCCTGCCCCGGAAGGATCCGAGAGCCTGAGACAGAAACTGTAGTTCTGTGGGTTTGAGTGTGTGAGTCATTGATTCACCAGGACAGAACAGAAAATACACGGAGGATCAGAAACGGGTGCAGGATAAGGAAGGCGGTGCCTCCTGGTCTTTTGCGATCCTCGGCACACACCTTCCTGGGCTTCTCAGCATCCAGGCCCCACTCCCTCTTTCCAATCGCTCCTTCAGGTCCGACGATGAAGGTGAAACGGCTCACGGTCCTGGACAAGTACAAAGACATCATCGACTCCTTTTACCAAGAGCAGAAGAAGTAATCAGGGGCCATCCTCCCAGTTTCTGATGAAGACAGCAGGCCATTCGGAGGGTCATCCTGGGCTCCAGGTCCTCCTTGGTCTGGGCGCACGGATGCCCAGCAAGGCTGTGAGGTCTCCGTGTCTGGCCATGGCACTGGTGTCCACGTTTACCGGGCCTATCACCAGCAGCCACTGACGATTCCAGAAGCTTCACATGTGAATAGTTTTACTTTTAAGCACTGCTTTTTGTTCAGGTGACAAATGAGATCAGCTCTCCCCCTGGAAGTAAAGGGCAGGCTGCTGGCTCGCGTCGGGGAGGGCGGAGAGGGATGGCCGGTTACTTGGCGCGCTGCAGGAGAGCCCATGGTCAGGCCGACCTCCTCTGGACCCACGGCTGCTGCCCACCCCGCCGTGCCAGCCCTGGGCACTGGGCACCTCACACTTGCCGACTGACCTGACGCTTAATAAAACTGCTGTTGCCTGTTTGTACTGTGATTTGAATATTAAACCATTTAACAGAATTGCCAGCAAGTACCTGATTTTTCTTGTCAGTTGAGCAGGCGGGCCAGGGAGTCATGGGTATTGAACCCACGGGACCATGAGCCACGGGTGTGATCCTCCGCGCCCTGGAGCCCACACAGCGCAGGACGGCGTCGAGGGGAGCATGCTGTGAAAGCAGGCAGCTTGCGCTAGCCCTGCACCCCAAATACGTAGCCTGTGACCTCAGACACGCCTCAGTCAGTTCTGGAATGCCTTACTAGGGCGGATCGTTGGCGCGATCCAACAGAGCAGAGAAAGCCACAGCCTGAACCAAGTCAAACACACGTTGAGACGTGAGTGGTGCCAAGCCTGAGAAAGCGCCCAGACAGGGATCCTCGCTAAGGAATCCCGTGCTCAGGGCGCACTCTTCAAGGCCCACGGGTTCACAATGCCATGCGGGGCGGGGGGGCAAGAAGAGGACAGGAGTCGCCGAAAATAGTGACTTGGAGTCTCACATAAAGGGCAGTCGTGCTGGCGGTGGGGGGGGGTCAGCAGCTGAGCCCAGGCCCCGCTGCGGGCTCATCTCTGGCCGGCGCCGCTGAGGTGGGACGGCGGGCAGTGACCCGGTACCCTGGGGATGGGGCAGGCCAGCCAGCACCCCCAGCTCAACTGCAGCCAGAACCGAGGCGCTGGGGGCCCTGGGCGGCTACAGGCAGAGTGGACCGCACGCGGCTGGCCCTGCACCAGAGACGCCTCCCACTGTCCAGCAAAAAGCCCGCCCCTCCAGGCCATGGAAGCTCTGGCCAGCAACAGGGCGTCTCCAGTAACAAAGTAACTGGACACACAAATCCATGTCTTTGTATCGAATATACTGCCTGTGTCTTATTAACAAAAATCACATCTCTCGTTACATAGTTCTTGAAGTCTTTATTCATACTCAGTAATTCACATCGAAGGACTCACCTGCCTACTTCCCACATTGCTAAGTATGCCCTATTCACTGGTTTTGATCTGAACTTTCCAGGAAACCTCTCCTGTGCCCATTTAGTTTTTTAAGAGTATCATCTTTACTATCATGTCAATAATCTATTTTGTTTCTATTACATTTTTCATAAACCAAGGAAAACAGGGTTTTCTTTAAAAAGTTATGTTTTCTCTTAATTCTGTATCGTATTTACAGCTGAGGAAAAAACCGTTTTAACCAAAGTGTAAAATGATTAACATGGCAAACGATACAGTCCACTTAGAATTTACAAAAAACATATACGGGATAGACACAGAATAAATAAAACAAGCACTTGGGGAAAGTCCTCTGAAAGCAGGCCTAGGGACGTCCCCCGCAGCCTCTGCACAGATTTTGTTCAGAAAAGGCCATGTCTAAAAGTGTACTGTCTGTCGGGAAAGAAGCGAACCAAACGTGTGCGCGATGGGAGGTGCCCGTGGCGGCCGGTGGGAGTGACGCCCACAGGCACCACTCACAGGAGCCTCAATCCAAATCTCGTACTCGACGACAGATCTCCTCCGTGAAGTCGGAGCATTTTGCGTTGCCTCCGAGATCTTTCGTTAAGCTCTGGGAAAACAGAAAAGCAAAGAGAAAATGCACCCACACGCTAGAGCCAAGCCAGGCTGTTTTTACGGAAAGCCCCCGAGCACGTCCAGCACCCCCGCCCAGAATGACCAGGGTCCAGTTAGCGCACACAAACACACTGGAGAGGACAAGGCGCTCTCGAGACAAAACGGAGGAAGGAGGCTTTCCAAAATTCTCCCTCTGTCCGTACAGTAGACCCTAAGATTGATTATGGACATTTAAACAAACCATAAATCCCTTGGGGAATTTTTAAAGTTGAAAAAATGTACTCTGACCTATTTTGGAAGCTGAAAAACAAATTTAAGGTAGTATTTGAATCACATGGGGCCTGACTCATGAGCTAGAGATCAGGAGGCCCACACTGCACCGAGGCGGCCTGCCAGGCACCCCTGAATCACTAGCTCTCCAACTCTCCTCCTTAGAAGAGAAATTCTCCCACCTGGCCCCCGGGTCCTCCGACAGCGTACCCTCCCTTCACTCCCAAAGGGACCCCAAAACACTTGGTTCTCTCGTCCCACTGCATCCCGACAATTCCAAGGGCCACCGAGGACTTGAGGCAGCGCTCTCTCCAAACAGATGCTATGCCTTTGCGGCCTCGCTCTCTGCCTGCGCGCAGAACAACGAAGCTGTGTTTGAGCCAGACTGTGAACCCCGGCCACCCCGGAGGAGCTGTGGGACCTTGGACGAGTCAGTCAGTCTCTCTGTGCCAGGTTCCCTCACCTGGCAAAGGGGGTTAGTCGTAGCATCTACTTCACAGAGCAGCAGAGATTTACAGAGATGATGTGCATGAAGAACATAAAGTCACCCAACATTTAGTTTATCAGCCACGATGATTCCTTTTATGAACATGCTTTGCTTTCACAACACACGTGGAGCACGTCTCCGCACATCTGACCTGGCCCTGCCGCTAGATTCCGTGGCCCCGCGGCCTGGACCTTAGCTCCCCTCGCGTGTTAAGACTCCGCAGACTTTATCACGCGCACCACACAGGTTTGCTGGCGGGGAGGAGCAGGGACCTGCCCCCGGTTGTGCGCTGACAACAGGACATCGAGGCCTCACTGACTCTGGCCCCGAACCACGGCTCCTCCTAAAGCACACGGGTGTCTCTGGGTTAGTGCTTCCTAGCCCCCGCCGCGACGGAACGCACGGCTCCTCTCTCCATAGAGCGCACCCACATGTGCTCGGGGAGCCAACGACTGCTGCCTTCACCCGGACACAATGTGTGCAAGACGACAACCCAAACCTTTCCATCCTTAATTGTGGCAAAGCACGCAGCCTCAACCCTCGCGGCGTGGTCAAAAAGCCCCATGTGGCGCAACATCATCACAGCGCTGAGCAGGAGGGCCGTGGGGTTGGCCATGTCCTTGCCCGCAATGTCCGGGGCGGTGCCGTGAACCTACCGGAGGAACACAAACATGGTCAGAGGGCCCGCAAACAGCCCTCTCCCGGGGACGCTGCGCCCTGTCACGTCTCCTCATTCATCAGACATGGGGTCGGGAAGTAAAGCCTCAGAAAAACCAAGAGCCAAAACCATGGGGGGAAAGTGCAAAAACACGGGCTAACAATCCTTTCCAGCTTCTGACAAGATGTAACTGAGGAAGGACACATGATAAATAATGATACAAAATAAAAAAGGGGGAATGAATAAATAAACCAAGCTTATATAAAAAAACCTAAAGAAAGCATCATTTTATTTCGACTCCTGGGAAAACTCAACAGCTGAACCATATTTGTGCAGATAACCCCATCCTGGGCCCTCAGGCCATTCCTATGTGAACGCCACTTCCCACGTCACCCAGGTCCTTACCGACTCGAAGATCGCAACCCCATTGGCGCCAATGTTGCCACTTGGTGTCACACCAAGACCTCCAATCAATCCCGCACACAGGTCACTGGGGGCAGAAAAACATTTCAAAGGGTGTTCTGAAAAATAAAACACCTCACCCAGACTTTGGATTTTATTTATTATTTTTTAAAGATTTTATTTATTTATTTGATAGAGAGCAAGCACAAGCAGGGGGAGTGGCAGACAGAGGGAAAAGCAGGCTCCCCACTGAGCCAGGAGCCAGACACAGGGCTTGATCCCGGGACCCTGAGATCATGACCTGAGCTGAAGGCAGACACTTAAATGAGCCACCCAGCACCCCAGACTTTGGATTTTAAATACCATTCTCTGCCAAAGGGAACCAGGGCTCCTTGGAGAAATGGCTGATCTGGGTCCACAGTTAGAAAAACCCAGGATGGGCCGGAGGCAGCTTACTGTGCCAGAAAGCAGATGGTCGGGCGTGTCCAGGACACGACAGCTCAAACGGACGCACACTGGCTAATATAAATGATGGCTGTGACGGACAGAACTCATGGTTATACCCACGAGTCAAAATGACGTTAAGGACACAAATCAATGGGAGAAGGGAAGCTGATCCTTGCAGCAGAGTACCGACTAACAGACGTAGAAGGAATAATGGCCAACTTCGTGTATGTGGTTGGGGGGACACCAGGAGGAGGAAGGCAGGGCGAGGGGAAGAGAGGCAGAAGTAACGTTAGCAGGGGTGGGCTGGGGGGGCCGGGGACACAGGAGTTCCTTGTACCATCTTGCAACTTTTCTGTAAGTCTTTTACAGAAAATTTCTTTTACAGAAATTATATCAAAAGTCACAAAAATTTTATAAAAATGACCACCCACTTGGGGGGCCTGGGTGGCTCAATGGGTTGGGCGTCTGCCTTCGGCTCTAGTCGTGATCCCAGAGTCCTGGGATCGAGCCCCACATCCAGCTCCCTGCTCAGCCAGGAGCCTGCTTCCCCTCTGCCTACTGCTCTCCCTGCTTGCACTTCCTCTGTCAAATAAAATCAAATCTTAAAAAAAACAAAATGACCACCCATTAGCTATACATAGTAACACACTGAAATCAATCAACCGATAAAACATCTCAGAATGGGAAAAGGGACGAATCATTAGAGGACAACAGCCCAGAGCCAATTTGGCAAATTAAACGAATCACCCATCCAACATGTGATCATGGACATTACCACCCAAATCACCAGCATCCAACTCCTACCACACACGCTATACTTTTTAATATTCGAATGAAACTTCTTAAG